GAAAGATTTTACTCTATCGCTTTGTTCTAAGCAACGGGGGCATCCCGGGGTTCGAAATTCGCAGGGTAGGAGGGGGTAGTGATGCAGGGTGTAACTATAAAGGTCTCATTGTCCGGTGAGGTCCGGTTGGGGAGTTACAGAACGATCTCCTATCGTATAATCTTATCAACTGTTTATCTCCTGAACTGCAACTTTTTTTAAGTGACGTGACATGTGGCCAAGTATGGTGACCCATACTCGGAATTAGTGCTCTGCATTTATCCCATCCTAAGTGCACACACAGCAGTAAACACACACACACACCCAGAGCAGTGGGCAGCCATTTTTTTGCTGCGGCGCCCGGGGAGCAGTTGGGGGTTCGGTGCCTTGCTCAAGGGCACAGATAAAACCACTTTGTGGTTGGTAGAAATCCAGTCAAAAATCACTTCTATGCAATGTTAATACATGACTATACACCATGAGCTGAACTATATATAGAAGTATGTCTGGCAAAATATGTCAGATAGAGGCTGCATTTTTCAGTTTTTCAGCGGCCTTGGATTTGGAATATTTTTTCCAGTAATTTTTTACAATTTGGCAAGCGAACATGATTTTTATTTATTTATTTAATTTTTTTCTACAAGGAATGACATGTACGGACAACAGGCACATTATTTTGATTAAACAATGTTTTTTGTTATTTAAAATTGGTTTCTCCATGTAGAAAATGAGTAGGATTTATACCCAGCACTTTACTGCAAAATCAGCTGCATTCTTTCATTATCTCAGCCATAAAAGCCATTTTCAGGATCTGTTTTAATTAAAAGTTGGGTTGCACATCCATACAGTGTGATGATTCTGAATTTACTGAACCAAGCAGCTCTCAGAGGAATATGACATCCTATCTTAGGGCAAAACTCTAAACTGCACAGATTCTGAGCCCCATAAATCTAAAAGACAGAACATAAACGTACGTACCTTTGCATTTGTTTGTAGTTTTGTCTAAGATGGCCTTGGTTGATACGATTTTTCCATATCTACAACAAGAACAAACAGAGATGCGTTAAGAATTTTGAAACACACAGATATAAACGGGCCAGTTTGAACATTACCATATTTGTACCATGATTATTATCTAATTAAAACAAAAACCACAAAAAAAAAACATTTTCATGACTTGAAATAAATTAACATTATCTAAAATAAAATATAAAAACATAAATTTCAGCTAGTTGCCAAGGTAACATTTCTCATTTTTGAATTTTCTCATTATTTTGAATTACTAAAATAACTAAAAAATAATTAATTAAACTAAAAAAACTTAATACAAACTATATACACATACTTAAAAATAATAAAAATAAAACAAAGTGATGATATTATATATTATATAAAATTATTATATAATATTACTATTACATTAACACTATAATAGTATGTCAATTTATATAAAAATAACACTGATACGTACTTGCATTCGAATATTGAAGAATGGAAACCGCACAATAAAATCATTCACAAAATTGCTTAAATTTGCAGAATGTATTGTGAATATATTTAATATGTCACTAGTATGAATGCAGTTGTGTATCCCAGTTGCTAAGTGAACATACAAAAGACCTGCAACAATATTTGAAACAAGATGATGGTGAGCAAATCTCTTTTTCTCTTTTTCTTAAGATTTATGTCTAAAACACTGAAAATGTAAAAGAAGTGAATCTTAAACGATGCTTCGTTGTATTCTGGTATTTTCTGTACACTTTAGAAACCAGCACTGCAGGAGAAGGTGTCTCTGGAGAAGAACAGAGCGGGCAAAGGAGTCCTTGGGGGGAAATGTGACTGATTTATGAGGAGGTTATAAAAACTGCAGTGGAATGCTGTAAGGCACATGTGAGTGAAAATATGGCCTTTGACCTCACAGCACAGGCACCAATATGACCTCACGAGTCACAGCCACCGATGGCGAGAAAAGAAAAAATGGTCATTAAGCGCTTTCAATTAATAGCCAAATAGGAGAGACTTCGTGAGATTTGAAATCCAATTACAGCAGATGACTCTTAAAGCCTGTGCCGGTCTCTCCGGGGCCACGGTGACCTCATGCTATGATTCTCCTGGGGGATTAAGAGTTTGCACCAATTGACCTAATATTAATCAATTACGAGGATCTCACATCTTCCTCGTCCTCTTCCTGAGCCGCTTATGGAAGCTGTGCTTCAATCAACAGCTTGAAAGCGTTAGCAGAAAAAGAAAGTACTTCAATGCTTTCAGGGACTCTGAGGACATTCTTTCAGCATCTTGGTTCCAGAAGTGATTTTCCCACTGGGATTTTTAAAAAGACTTTGTTAAAGAGTTTGACAAGCCGTGATCCAAACCAACCAGCTACGAGGAGATTCACAACATTACAAACTTTGTCTTGAAGCAAAAAATGCTTGAAAATCGGAGAGAAAGACAAAGGCTTTTTCAAAAAAGACTTTTTCATAGCTACAATAAACATCATTCTCTTCATATACATACATACATACACACACACACACACACACACACACACACATACAGTGGGGAAAAAAAGTATTTAGTCAGCTACCTATTGAGAATGTTCTCCGACTTAAAAAGATGAGAGAGGCCTGTAATTTTCATCATAGGTATACCTCAACTATGAGAGACAAAATGAGAAAAAAAAATCCAGATCATCACATTGTAGGATTTTTAAAGAATTTATTTGCAAATTATGGTGGAAAATAAGTATTTGGTCAATAACAAAATTTCATCTCAATACTTTGTTATATACCCTTTGTTGGCAATGACAGAGGTCAAACGTTTTCTGTGGCCAAGCATTCAAATAATGCATCTCATAATCTTGTACTGCAGTTATATCTGAATAAATGTACATTATTATTCTTTAGCTTGGGTTAAACAAACCAATTTTGCTTGGTTGGAACCGCAGCTACGCTAATTATGTCTCTATTTGTTTCTCTGTTTTTGCCAAAGCTTCAGTCTGGATCCAGAACACCTGAGAAGAGATGATGCCAACCCCTCAGAGGACCTCAGATGATAACAACTCTGAAACAACATACAGAACTACCACATTTTGCTATAAGTTTGATTTCATCATATAATAATTGCTGTTAATAGTTTTCTTCATCTGTTTGATTACGTCTTTAATTGATTACGTCTTTAATTGATTTTTCCGTACATTTCTGCCATATGTACATTAACTGACAGTCACCACTGATAAGCTACTACTAAATATTGTAGAAACTTCATTTGCTGTAAAGTTGCTTTGCAACGATTTGAATCGTGAAAAGCGCTATACAAATAAACTTGAATTGAACTTGAATTGAACATAAATTAAAAATGATATGTTATATTATTATATAAATAAATTATTTTATAAATTTATAAAATATAATATTTTACAAATGTTTCTCTTTAACGGCGTATTTTCATTTTTAAAATGATATACAAATTTACAAAACATGAAATAAATAAATATACCATATATGTTTTGCAAATGTTTATCTTTACACAGTTATTTTCATTTGACAAATAAATAAAAAGTTAAATAACTAACTAAATAAATAATATAGTATACACATGGTTTTGCAAATGTTTATCTTTGCCTACACATTGTTATAGTTAGAAACAACAGTTTAAGTATTTTTCACATTTATTTTGCCCATTGGGTTTTTTTTTAAGTCACCATTAAAGCAGTAAAAGCCATGAACCAAATCAACCAGCTATAAGGAGAATCATAACATATTACAAACTTTGGTTTTGGTTTCAAGTGTTTGAAAATTGGACAGAAAGACAAAGGTACAAGACTATAGGTAATAGTTTTAGTGTGGGAAAGAACTACAATCCCATGAAGCACTGTGAATGACATAATTGAAATAAAAACGGATAAATATCAAATTACTGATGTAAGGATTATGCATTTAGAATCCACAAATATTCTATATATTAAAAAAAAAATACAAACACACAGAAGTTTGAGAGTTTAGTGTGAGCTAAAGAGTTCTTTTGGTGCGATTTGCTTGTTTCGATGGAGATTTCTCTGCAGAATCATGGGTAATGTAGTTTTTCACCAGGAATTCTGATGTTAAACACCATTGTTTTAAAAAATAAGTTGAAATAATGTGGCTGATGGCTTCAACAAAAGCATATAGCATTGATTAACAACCTCATAGCTCACAGTAGGTCTGTCTTAGGTCTTGATTTATAAGTTACTGTTTAAAATCAATTCTCCTATGGAGGAAATTAATGTGACTGTTGCGCTCTATAAGCAGAAGTATACACACCACACACAAATATTGAATGAAATACATTTTCAGACATTCATTAGAATTAGCCAAAAGAAGGCATCTTATGACTTTCTGTAGGCAGCTCACTAGGTTTCGTAACAGAGCGAACATGTTATGAAAAGTTGACAAATGCCATTCATTAATCTCGCTGTACAGAGAGACAGCACAACAGCGTTGATGGGCCTTTTTGTGTGCTTCATCGCCCGGTTTACCGGAAAACAACGAGGCAATCAGGAGGAAAAACCCGTCCTAATAGGCTGCCTCTCCATTAGCTTGCGCTGAAAATCTATTACAATTGAATTGCAGAGGCCAGACGGTGGAGAAGAGGCCTAGAGATGGATAGAATGTCGCTCCTGAGAGGAGGAACAATGTGACTGGTGTTTCACCTGCAATTTCAAGCCCAGTCTTGATCCCATTATAGAGCTCCAGTTTCCCTCCACCAGGAGCTTATTGATCTTTATAGTAGGAGCTCAGGGTTGAGCTTCATAACTCAGCTTAAGCAAACATCAGCGGCCTGTTCTGCTCTGTGATTACAGACTTCCTATTTGTGATTTAAACACATGTTGAGATTAACAAGAGATGCACAATATTTGGTGACCATAATGGTACTAGTATGCTAGAAAACTGTATAGATTTACAATGCAATTCATATAGGCTCCCACACTTTTTGACTACTGAATTTCCATGACTTTTCCAGTCATTCGAGAGGATTTTGAAAAT